TAGGCATGTCAAAGATCTCAGGCCTTTAAAAACAGATCACAACTACTTAAAAAAAACCAAAATAATGGGCGCCTGGGTGGCTCAGTGGGTTAAGCCTCTGCCTTCAGCTCAGGTCATAATCTCAGGCTCCTGAGATCGAGTCCCACATCGGGCTCTCTGCTTGGGAGGGAGCCTGCTTCCTCCTCTCTCTCTCTGCCTGCCTCTCTGCCTACTTGTGATTTTTCTCTGATAAACAAACAAACAAACAAACAAATAAATAAAATCTTTAAAAAATAAAAATTAAAAAAAATGTAAAAACCCAAAATAAAAAATAACAGGTGTTGGTGAGGATGTGGAGAAACCGAAACTCTTGGAAATGTAAAATGGTGTAGCCATTCTGGAAAACAGTATGGTGGTTCCTCAAAACAGTAAACATAGAATTACATATGTTCCAGCATGTATATGCATTCTGGGTATATATCAAAAAAGCTGAAAGCAAAGACTCAAGTAGATATTTGCATGCTCATGTTCATAGCAGCATTATTTATAGTAGCCAAAAGGTAGAAACAACTCAAGTGTCCATTGCATGAGCAACATATGATATAGACATGCGGTTGGAATATTACTCAGCCTTAAAAAGGAAGGAAATTCTGATATACTACAATATGGGTAGACCTTGAGGACATTATGTTAAATGAAAAAAACTAATCACAAAAAAGACAAATACCACATGACTCCACATTTATGAAGTACCTAGGCAGATAAATTCATAGAAACAGAAAGTAGAACGGTAGTTGCCAGAGGCTAGGGGGAGAAGGTAATGTGGAGTTATTTTTGAAGGAGTACAGTTTTAGTACTACAACATGAAAAGAGTTCTGGAGATGGATGGTGGTGATAGTTGCACAATGTAAATATGCTTAATGCCACTGAACTATATGCTTAAAAATGCTTAAGATAATAAGTTTTATGTTATGTGTATTTTACCACAATTAAAAAAATAGATCCCACAAAACATCTGAATGTGTCAACTACCTGAGTCCACTGGATTAACTCTGTACGGACTCACCAAGGTAGCTCTGACTTGGAAAAATTCTCTCCGCTGTCCACGGTTCTTCTCCTTGTTCCAACTTGCGGATCATATCGGGCTTAGTCATGTGAAACCCTGGTAATAAAAAACAAGACTTGGTATAAGCTGCTTGGGCTTCAAAACTATTGAAGGGAGAGAAGGATAGAGCTCTAAGGTGACAGACAAGGTACGCATTAACATCTTGCCAAGTTAATACCTTGCACTAGGCAAGTGAGGACCTAATCACACTGTCTGCTAACAAAAAGGGAGTCATCACCTCTGATCTCTGAAATTCAAAGTTCCATATGCTTTAGAAATTCTTGAAAGGAGATGTATGATGTTGAAAGATTCAAGGAATTTTCCTTACCAACAGAGATGAGATGGCAGTAGTTTTCCAACATGACATCCCTGTAGAGGGCCTTCTGTGCAGGATCCAGTTGCTGCCATTCCTCCTGGGTGAAGTCCACAGTCACATCCTTGAATGACACTGATCCCTGTAAGGGCATACTCTAGTTCATCCTAAAGTGATTGGAACTAGTGAGAACTAGATATTGGAGACCATGTTCAGTGGTCAGACTAGTTTTCTTATTTTGTATTTTCTACTGTAGAAATTTCTCTCTGATAATATTTACTTATTATCTCATGCTAAAAATATATAAGATCATACTATTTGCCTTAAATGTGACTGGTTGCCTGGTGGACCAAAATGAATAAAACCCTGGCCTTGCTCATGAAAAGTTACTGGTTATGTGAGAGGCATACATATAAATACATACACTCAACAGGTATTACAGATGAATGACAGAAATATGTACAAGGGAAATGCTATGAAGTGAAGAAAAATTTCTTTTTGTATTCCAAGGCTTCACTGAGGACATCAAAATTTTGTCCTCACAATGAATTTGTTTTGTACAGTGTATCAGCTTTTAAAATTCATGGGGAGAAGAAAATTAGTAAATTGAGGAAACGGCAAAAGGCACAGTATGTTAGGAAAGAGTCTTTGTGCTCTAAGAAGAAAAACATATATCAAGGTGGGCAGTGGGCATGTTCATGGAATAATACTAGGATTTTCCTACAGAGCAGTGTCTTAAAAATGTACTGAGAACACTCTCAACATATTTCTATTTACTTATAAGGCATCAGTCAGCATTAACGGCAATCCATAGAGTTGATGATCTGCTCCTGAATACGATCTGTTAGTATTTTCCTCCCTTTCAATATACTGTCTTGTACATTCTATTCTAATGCATACCCCACTTTGCTTGTTCTGCTGCTTTGTGGAGTATAAAGAAATGCTAAATAGCACCTATGTTATCTGATAAAATTTGTACTTCAAAGGCAATACTCTTGAAGACTGGAGAAGGCTTGAGGTGTGTTAAGTGGGAAAGAAAATTAGGTAACCATTGTTGGAGATGTTTACTAGATTAAGGTGGTATTAGTGGTCTAGAGAGGAGAAAACTGGTTAGTGGATAATGGGTTGCAAAAGAATTGGTCATAAATTGGTTGTAGAGTGACAAAAAAGAAGCATAGCTCTTGGGTTACCTGTATAGGCAAGTGGGGAGGTGCTGAGACTAGAAAATGGAAATGGAAAACAGAAGAAAGAATAAGCTGGACCAAAGGAGATAATGAAGTAAACCTTGGAAATGTACTTCAAGTGTCTATGGGACATTCAGGTGGTCATAACTTTTGGAGATTGGATATATGATTCTGACACCTGAATGGAAGTCTAGGATGGAGAGAGGTATTTGAGAGTCACTAGAATTAGATCAGTATAACCTTTAGAATGGATCTGTGCATAGAGAAAAAGAGTGAAGAGAAGAGAACAAATTGGCATCTGGGGAAAATCAGTTTGTTTTTTTTTTAAGATTTTATTTATTTATTTGACAGACAGAGATCACAAGTAGGTAGAGAAGCAGGCAGAGAGAGAGGAGGAAGCAGGCTCCCCACCAAGCAGAGAGCCTGATGCGGGACTCAATCCCAGGACCCTGGGATTATGACCTGAGCTGAAGGCAGAGGCTTTAACCCACTGACCCACCCAGGCACCGGAAAATCATTATTTTGAAGATGGGTAGATGAAGACGAATGTTCTGACAGACATGAAAATAGGGAAAAGTGCCACCTTTGATTCAAAGTAGAATGTTTCAAGAATGGACTAGCATATGCTAGTTTGCTGCACCCACATATAAAAAATTAGAAGAAACTAAAAAGATAAGAAAAAATTCTGTAACGGCATTGAAATACTGGAAAGGTTTTCACTGGCTGGCCACCGTTTGTATGAATTGGATAAAATGGACAGGAAAATCACAGAAGGAGAATGCAAAATCATAGTTTTCTGTACAAGCTTGCAAACAAATCTCTATCTTGGAAACCTCACACAAGAAGACAGCTTACCACAAGCAAATAATGTGATTTACCAACTCTCCCTCCCATTGTATCATTGCAAAACCTAGGTTATTGGAGATGATCAAAGCTTTTCCATGTCTGTTCCTTGACTCCTCACAACTTAGATCTCAAATCAGTGTCTAGACAAGATAGATTCATTAAAGATAGATAGATTCAGTAAAGTAATATATTCCCTTTTAAATCAAAATAATACTTTTTTGTTCTAGCAGTACTTTTGTGAGAAGACTAAGAAAGGAGATGATGAGTAATATACCAAGTCAATATGTAAACATTGGCTACACCTAGAAGGTACACGTGCAAAGGCTTATGTTTACCTGGTTGGAATAAGAAAAACCGGGAAGAGGTCTGCAACTAGGTGGGGAAGGTGAGGAACATAGGATGCAAAGTTTAGGGATGTAAAACCCTAAACACACTCCTCACATTTTACGCTTAGGCCACTTGCTTGCCCTACTGGAGACAAGTTTCATGGAAGCAATTGCCAACATCCTGGAAATTTAAGGATAGGGAAGCAAATGTTTATATCACCTGAAAACAACTTATTTCAGAAAGAGAGGAAACATCATCTCACCTGAGGCATGGCTTTGAGATTTGCAAGAGATGAACCTTCTCTTTTGAGCCTTTCTTTTGGAAAAGGGAAGAATCCTGAGAAGGCAGAGATAAGAGGATACAAAGAGCATGTGAAATCATATTGGACTTAGATCTCCCAGAATAATTCCATTAAATCTGCATCAGTTTTCACTGTTGCAGCACTTGCCCACTCTGTGTACCCACACATATCCAGGGTGGTGATTAGTTGAGAAAAAGGGCAAATCCTGCTCCCTTACCACCAGAAACCTAGTCTCTTCATGAATTAGATTGAATCTGGGCAATCTGTCGTTGGTGGAGAGAGAGAGGGAACATTGTGCTTTTCCCTCTGCAGCTCTACCTTCCATCTCCCATGGAAGACAGGTTTGTCATATATTTCCAAATAGTTCTTCATGGACTTTCTACCAATTTACACTGTTAGTATCAGCACAGGAGAATACCTCCCCATACTCTGATGAATGCGGTTGATAATAAATTTTTAATCTCTGCCTAATAGGTATATATTGTAGTTCTAGCTTACACATTTCTTACTATGAGAGAATAAGCTCCTTTTCTTTTCTATTTCTATAATGGCATCTTCTTATATATGTCTATTTTTCTCATGTTTTAATTTCCTAATTGGTATTATCTTTTTTATTTAGTAAACTAACCCTTTATTTTAAATTAGAAATAATTTTTCTTAGTTGCTTCTATGACTATTAAAGTGTTTTTACCTTGTGAAGCTTTCCTTTTATTATTATTTTTAAAGATTTTATTTATTTGACAGAGAGATCACAAGTAGTCAGAGAGGCAGGCAGAGAGAGAGGGGGAAGCAGGCTCCCCGCTGAGCAGAGAGCCAGATGCGGGGCTCGATCCCACTACCCTGGGATCATGACCCAAGCCAAAGGCAGAGGCTTAACCGACTGAGACACCCAGGCACCCCCCTTGTGAAGCTTTCTTTGTATGTCTTCTTGTTTAGCAATACTACAAATATGTAAGTAATCCTTATTTTTTCAATTAATGTGAAATGGCATCCCTATCATATATTACATATCCCTATATGCTTGAGAATATCTGAACTTTAAGTTCCTCTACTTAATCTTTATTGATTCACCTGTATCATAGTGATAAGCATAATTATTGAAAATTAACTTACTAATTTACTAATAGCTAATTTAACTACTGAACAACATTTTTTAGTAGTACAGGTATGGCACTAGAAAAGAAACTGATCTTTCCATTCTGTAATGTAGGTTTCCTGGGGAGAGGATGATACCATGCTAAATGAAATCTAAAGTACTGACTGCTACAGTGAATGTTTTAATTAGCAAACTATTTAACTATTAAAATGAGACTGGCGTTGTGATTAAAAGTATACCAAGTACTTTTTTATTGTCTTAGAATGCCTGAAGAAGCTAATGACCCTGACATTGATTTCATCCAGAAGCAGGAAACCTCACGCATACATCAGTGTTGAAAGTACTGGTTATGGACAAAAGTTGTTTTTTACTGCTTCCTATCCATGGAGCACTATTAATTTCAACACATTGGTTTTAGTTTACATAGTGTTTCCCTGTATTGAATCTTACCATCTGGGAAATGAAATCTTACCTCTTCCTTTCCAATATTCATACCTCTATTTGCTAAATTGCTACTGAGGTACAATTTTGGAGGCAGGCTTAATGACCACTCTTCAGATAATCACATCTTAAAAACCCAACTAGACAGTGGTCATGCAGTTTTTCAATCACAAAACCATCACAAATAATAACAGTAGGTTACAAACACATGCACAGTTACATTCAACCAAACTTACTTCAGAAAACCCCCATCTCACAGTACCCATATGTCATTTACAACCTCAGACAGCACACTGCATAATTCCAGGCAAAGTCACAAAATCACTTTAGTTTCTTCATAGTCACCTATAGTATCAAGCAGGACTCACACCTACTCTAAAATTAGACACGTAAGGAGGAAATCCGAGGCAGCTACACAACTCCGTCCACTTTTCACACATTCGGTCCCAACATCTCGCAGAGTAGCAGGCATCCAGAATGCAGCAGGTTGGGCACAAGAGGCCGCCTCAATTCGGGACACACACGCAGCGCCCGCTGTTTGAGGCCCCGCTCCCAGCGATCGAGCTTCCTCCGGGTCAAAACAGACAAACCCCTCCCCTCGCGGAGCTCGCTTTAAGTCAGACCTGATTGTCACCCTCAGGGTCACGCCCACGGGCCACACCCGAGGCCCCGCTCGCACGGATCCGAGTGACTGATTACCGTGGGCTCGGTTCCGGTTCCCTCCTCAGAATTACCAAGCCGGGCTTGAACTCCCTGTTTCCTCCCTGGCCTCCCCTCCGGGACCGGATAGCTAGCCTGGCCTCTCCGTCCGAGCACCGGGTTCCCGCCTCCTCAAGAGCCCCTAGGACCTACCAACCTCACCCCCGGCCAAGGATCAGTCGTCTGCGCCTGCGCACTCCCGCGTGGGCCGGAGCTCCCAGGAGTCCACGGGGCGGCGCGTTAGTAGCCTAACTGTGCATGCTACCGGCTCTGGGGGCTGTTTGTGTTAACGTCCGCGCTTTTCCAGAGTGGACTACGTTTCTCACAGGTTAGTGAGTTAGTGAACTTCATTCTCTGGTTCATTTTCCTCTAGGCTTACGGTCACAGTTTTCTGTGTGGTGAGTGACCCCGGTCTGGGTGCGGGAGGAGCTCCCCGCGGGAGCTCCGGAGTTCTCCAGGTGCGTTATGAGCAGGTGGAGCAGGAGCGTCAGGCCAGTGTGGAGAAGGTGATTGTGTGTGTGAGCGTGTGTGCGGGATTGTGTGACTGAATCGGCGTGGGATGTGATCATGAGTGTGTGTGTGTGCGCGCGCGCGCCCGTGGTGGGGAGGCTCTGAGTGGTCCAGATTAAGGCTCCTGGGACTGTGTGGGGGCGGAGCCTTTTTTTTATGACCATGTTCAGTTGTGACTGTGAGGTGTGTTGTACTGTGATTAAGTGGTTCCATGACAGCGCTATTGTGACCAACCGAAGGCTAATCAAAATTGGCCTAGTGTAGCTTTTTTATTTTTTAGATAAGGCAGAGCTTCATTTTTGCAGTTCTGGTGCTGAGGAATCTGTGGACAAGATCCCCGTGTGACTCAGTCTGTGCCTGTGAAAGGCCTCGAGGCCATAGTTAACCACAAGGGACCCCCTGTTCTGAAGGATGGCCTTTGTTGCCTTCATCAGTGCACGCTGTATGTAAGATCCAGCCTAGTGCTTGAAGGAATAGAGTACATTGAGTGTAGCCTATTCTTGACTCAATTGTAAGTTCCACTTGGAATTTTTTGTATTGGGTTTTCTTTCAGTGCCTCTATCATTTCATCTTATAACCACACTGCACAGAAATGCTAGTTGCACAAAAATGGCTGTCAAAGGGAAGTTGAACATTTGAGACCTAGAATGAAGGTTACTACTAAAAAAGCACAGCCCTCTGTTTATTGTGGCAATTTCAGAGCTGTAATTGCCCCCAAGGCAAGGTCCTGGGAATACATGATACTGAGGCACCAAGAATAGGATTACTTCCTTGGAATCTGCCCCTTAGCTCTGTGGGGTCAGGCTGCATATTGCAGATCCATGGCATTTTTATAGCTCTGTTGACAGAAAACTGCTGTGAATATAGAAACAGATTGCAGTCCCAGGTTTCAGTGAATATGAATTTTCCTTATGGTATAGGGAACAGTCAACAGTATTCCAGTCTTTCTCATACCTCCATTAGTGTGTGCTTAGTAAATATCACGGGGGCTTGTTAGTGATGAAGAAGTGTGTTCTTATTTAGCCTGTCTGGGGGCGCCTGGGTGGCTCAGTGGGTTAAAGCCTCTGCCTTCGGCTCAGGTCATGATCCCAGGGTCCTGGGATCGAGCCCGGTGTCGGGCTCTCTGCCCAGCAAGGAGCCTGCTTCCTCCTCTCTCTCTGCCCACCTCTCTGTCTACTTGTGATCTCTGTCTAGCCTGTCTGGGCTCCAGGAAAGGCCTGCTATGTTGTGCTTCCCTTCCCTTTCCCATTTTTGCTGTATTCCAAAGAAGAGCAATGAGAGGAGAACATTGTTATAGTTACACATCTCAAAGCCATGCTAGAAGTCATCTTGAGCTTTCTCTTTGTTTTGTGAAATTTCATTTTTGTTTTTCAGGATACAGTATAACTTCATCTTAAATGCCTGCCAAATAGTGACTTACACATTTACCTGGTCTCTAGGTCTTCTCTTCCCAGTTAATGATGGTACCATGAGGATGGATCTCCTTTCCCAGTTCCTCATCAAATGCTGTTTCTACAGTTAATTTTCATATAGACACTTGCCAACACTTCCCCTTGTATGCTTTTTGTTGTGTTCTCATCATGCAGACATAGTCCCTTTTTATTTTACACAGTGATTTGTTAAGGAGGAGACCAATATTTAGGTAGAATTATACATTTGATACGTTAGATATTCTCCAGACACATGAGTGGAAAAATGGCAAGGTGGATAGTTTGATTGATTTCAGTGTACTATATAATGGTCTCTGAGTCTTGAGCAGGGGTCAGCCGACTTTGACCCAGTAGGCAAAATCCAGCTTGTGTCCTGTTTTTTTGGGTCTGTGAACTAAGTCTGGTTTTAACATTTCTCAATAATTAAAAAATATCAGAAGGAGAGCCATATTTCATGACATGTGAAAATTATATGAATTTCAAATTTTGATGTCTACAAATAAAGTTTTGAATTTGGTCAGTGAAAAAGTTTGTGGAAATTTGTTAACTCTTTTGTTAAATAAGCACCTACATAATATCCTTGATTTTACTTTTAGGCCCACAAAGCCTAGCATATTTTCTATCCTTTACAGAAGTTACTGACCCCTAATCTAGAGTATCTAAATTAAAATCTTATTTTGCTGTTTAGTATTTGTGAGTTTGGATAATATGTTCAACATCTTTCTATTCCATAATTTGTTTGTAAAATGTAAATAATATGAATTTCAAAGGTTTTTTTGAGGATTAGGAGCTTTAATATTAATAGGGCACTAGAACAGTGACTGACAATAATAAATACTTAAGTTAAAAACTTGTTATTTTAAAAAAAAATTTATTTTTTTAATTTCAGTGTTCCAGAATTCATTGTTTATGCCCCACACCCGGTGCTCCATGCAATATGTGCCCTCCATAGTACCCATCTCACCCAACCTCCTACCCCTCTCCCCTCCAAAACTCTCAGATTGTTTCTCAGAGTCCATAGTCTCTCATGGTTCATCTCCCCCTCCAATTTCCCCTAACTCCCTTCTCTCCATCTCCCCATGTCCTCCGTGTTATTCCTTATGCTCCACAAATAAGCGAAACCATATGATAATTGACTCTCTCTGCTTGACTTATTTCACTCAGAATAATCTCTTCCAGTCTCGTCCGTGTTGATACAAAAGTTGGGTATTCATCCTTTCTGATGGAGGCATAATACTCCATAGTATATATGGACCACATCTTCCTTATCCATTCGTCCATTGAAGGGCATCTTGGTTCTTTCCACAATTTGGCAACTGTGGCCATTGCTGCTATGAATACTGGGGTACAGATGGCTCTTCTTTTCACTACATCTGTATCTTTGGGGTAAATACCCAGTAGTGCAATTGCAGGGTCATAGGGAAGCTCTATTTTTAATAAAAACTTGTTATTATGTGGATAATCTAAGTCTACCTTTATAGATAAGGAGCAGTGGAAATGAGAAATTAATTGTAATAGACACTTTTAAGTAAGAAAATGGACCATATGTTCAGATGGTCTAGAACAGGAATCCTTCACCTTAAATGATTTTCCTTGGAATTGTATACCCAATTATTGCATATTTATTTTATTAATGCATACTTTTCTTGGGGAAAAGTCTATAATTTTATGATACTGTCTAAGGTGTACATGATCCAAACAAGTTTGGAACCACTAACTTAGTTATAATAACTTATACTTGGAAGTTGACTTTAGGAGGAGTTTGTCTAAAAATAATTTCCTGTATTATGTAAGTATTATTAATCACATTACATTTAGATTAATATTATATAAAGAGATATTCTGATATCAAAAATATAAAATTTAATGCTATGCAGTTTTCATGTTTATGAACTAAAGTACTCAAGAAATTGCCAAATTATAAAGTTTAACTATTATATGCATTTCTTAGCAGTTTTTCAAGGATTATATCCAATAGGGTACATTAACCAGGCATTCAGTGAGAAAGGCAATGATAAAGCCGTATTTATTAAGGCTCTAATGTGAGAGCCTCTGGGTGGCTCAGTCATTTAGCCTCTGCCTTCGGCTCAGGGCATGATCCCGGTGTCCTGGGATCTAGCCCTGCATCGGGCTTCCTCCTTGCAGGGAAGCCTACTTCTCCCTCTCCTACTCCCCCTGCTTGTGCTCCCTCTCTTGCTGTGTCTCTCTCTGTCAAATAAATAAAATCTTAAAAAAAAAAAAAAAAAAGCTCTATTATGGACCAGTTTAGTCTGAAAATGTCACCTGAGTTGTGCTCATTCATAGGCCAGTCTTAAAATGGAAAGTGTCTCATATTGATGAAATAAAGTAAAGAGGGAAAGAGACTTGGTAGGTTTATTAAGTCATAGTTTTCATAAGTAAAAGATGGCCCATCCTATAATTCTTTTTAGAAAAATGCTTTAAATGGAAATTGTTGTTCTATATTCCTGATGATGAAATTCACATAGTCTTCTTGAAAAAATTATTAATCCAAGATGAATTTATATAATAGAAAGTTAAGAGTACTCATAATTTTAGGGGTGCCTGGCTGGCTCAGTCAGAAGAGCACGTGACTCTTGATCTTGAGGTTTTGAGTTTGAGCCCCACGTTGGGTATATAAATTAACAAAAAATAAATAAAATTTTTAAAAAGTATGCATAATTTCAGCATCTAGAAATAGTCACTAACATTTTGGTATACTTTCTTAAGTTTTCCTTGTGCAGGGCGCCTGGGTGGCTCAGTGGGTTAAGCCTCTGCCTTCGGCTCAGGTCATGATCTCAGGGTCCTGGGATCGAGGCCCGCATCGGGCTCTCTGCTCATCGGGGAGCCTGCTTCCTCCTCTTTCTCTCTATGCCTGCCTCTCTGCATACTTGTGATCTCTCTCTCTCTGTTTCAAATAAATAAATAAAATCTTAAAAAAAAAAAAGTTTTCCTTGTGCATATGTTTATGATTTTGTGTTTTTAGAAAAATTTACAAGGATTAGTCATTAAAATAAGACCTCTTAGACTGAAGGAGGATTTCAGTCCAATCACTGGTTTTGTTATACTTCCATGTCTGTAGTATCAAATGACAGAACTAAAACAATTTAGTGATAAGTTTGATGCTTTCTTATTCAAAGGAAAGCGATCCATGGATTGGGGGAGTACTGTGCCTCCCATGCAGTGGGACATTTCTGGAGGGATTTTGGGCAAGAGAGAGTTTTCTAGAATGTTAGAAGGACCAACACAGAAATGGTATGATTGGCTAAGAGGTCAGGAATTTCTTTAAAAGACTAGTAGGTCCTATTTTTTCAGGTGAGGTAAGCTGGCTAAAGCTGGGATGACAGATTGTGATTGGTATATATTAGGATTCCTTGACAGGTGTTTCCTTTAAGTGCAGACGAATTAAAGTTTAGATTTGTGATGTGGGCCAGGTCACTAGGGTGGCCTCCATTTTGTGGGTTGTTGTTGTTGTTGTTGTTGTTGTTTAAAGATTTTATTTATTTATTTATTGGACAGAGAGAGAGATCACAAGTAGGCAGAGAGGCAGGCAGAAAGAGAGGGAGAATCAGGCTCCCCGATGAGCAGAGAGCCTGATGCGGGGCTTGATCCCAGGACCCTGAGATCACGACCCGAGCTGAAGGCAGAGTCTTAACCCACTAAGCCACCCAGGCGCCCCATTTTGTGGGTTTTGATATACAAATCAGTTTTATCAGTTGGTAGAAGAAGGAAGTGACAATGATGCCCAACTGATTTGACAAACCTTTTGACTATTTGCATCTTTTGGAATTATATAGATATCAATATATGCATAATTCCAGGAGAACAAATTATCAAGTAAGGGTACTCAGAATTAAGTATTTCTTTTTTTTTTTCTTCTTTCTTTTTTCTTTCACAAGACAGCACCAATATCTCAAGAGCAAGTATCTTGTCTCCGTTATATAATTTATGCTGACAAGGTTGGGTTTATAATTTCAGATAACAGAATTAGATGTTAGTAGTTATACATTAAAGTCTGGGTTAGACAGAAAACAAGATTGAGTTTTTGTTAACATTTTCAGTTTGTTACCTAAGTGGGTCAGATTCTCTGAGCTAGTTTTAGGAGACAGAGTGGTGACTCTGTAGCTGCTGTCCTTTTTTTCCCTGAAAATCGTCGTGGTAATGTTGTTAGTGAAGACTATATATGTTTTTTTTAAGATTTTTTTTTAAAATTTATTTGACAGAGAGAGGGAGATCACAAGTAGGCAGAGAGGCAGGCAGAGAGAGAGGGGGAAGCAGGCCCCTTGCTGAGCAGAGAGCCCAATTCGGGGCTCGATCCCAGGACTCTGGGATCATGACCTGAGCTGAAGGCAGAGGATTAACCCACTTAGCCACTCAGGTGCCCTAGTGAAGACTATATTTTTAAGCTGTGCTCTGTAATATATTAGCATTATAAGGAAGAGTAGCCCAAGAAGCTCAAATTTTCACTCTCAAAAAATGGTAAGAACTGAAGAGAATTTCCTTTAATAGTAGTGGATTATAGGACATGAAATAGCTTCTTCATCATCAATAAAAAATAGATAATATTTTGTTTGTTTGTTTTCAGTTAATCCTGACAACTTGCTGAGGTGCCAGGTACTATTGTTTTTCTCATTTTAGAAGGAAATCTAAGCAGAGCAGATAAAGTACTTACTAAGTCACAGAGTAACTTTCAGAGCTGAGATTGACAAAGTGAAGCTTTAACCACAGAACTTGTTCTTATTGATGACTGTATATAACCTCTCAATTTTTAACCTTTCTTACTCATTAATTCATTACAAATTACTTTCCTCAACATTTAATATGAATTAAGATAATAATTTTTAAAAATTAACATATTTATAGTAGCTACCGATAATTTATTTCACTTTTTCCCTACTTTGAGATTATTTATAGTTGGCAAAATTCCTCCATGATGATTATCCTTGGGATAAATTTTTGTCTACTTTTGTATCTAGTTCCTGCTCACAGAACTTATTCTAGTACTTGAGGGAACACCACTAAACAGAGGTAATTTGCTCATTATTAAACAAAGAAGATCAAATATATGTGGGAATAAATGTAAGGTAGACTGTGATAAAGGCTTTAAAGAAACAAATGTTGGGAATCCATATGGAAGAGACGTTCTGATGACAGCATTCTCAGGTTATAACCAGATTGTACTAATGACATAAGAGCTCTGTGGAGGTAAATATGTTTTATTCAAGATTTATGCCTTACAATTTTTTAAAGATTTTATTTACTTGAGAGTGAGAGAGCATGAGTGGGGGGAGGGGGATGGAGCAGGAACAGAGGGAGAAGCAGATTCCCCAAACCCTAAGATCATGACCTGAGCTGAAGGCAGACACTTAACTGACTGAGCCATCCAGGTGCCCCTATGACTTACAGTTTTTTAGTAAGCTTAGATGTGAAGTGAGACTAATAGAACAAGATTAAATAGGTATTTGGGAGGCCTCAGGGCTAAAAGGAATAAATTAGAAGCAAATTAAACCCATGTATCAGAGAGA